ACAACTATCCTACACAACAGAAATACAGAACACAAGTACCAGAACATAGTCAGAACTCACAGAACAGGCAGAGAGAGAGAGTGAGACAAGAGTAGAGTATATAGAGTGAGCCTAAGAGTACAGGACTACCTGGAGTAGATGAGATCAAGACTACAGGACCAGTCTGATCTTGTACACCTATATATACTAAACTACACAAGAGCACTCAGGGAGCATGAGTCACTAAGAATGATGAGCCACAAAGAATGAAAGAAAGGAATGTCAAAGATAAAGGTACAAAGAATGAAGGGATGGATAAAGGGTAAGAGACTATAGAATGATACAAAGAATGAAGGGGTAGTCAAAGGAATGGAATGATGAAGTAAGGAAGGGTAGTGGCAAGAGTCAGCACACATATAGTCCATAGACAGTGCCCCTGAGGGATGGAAGTCCTGAGTTCTAGTACAGAAGGGTGCAGAACCCTTGGAACTGAAGGTACAAGAGTAGAGAACTGTAACACCAACTGTACATTCTAAAGGATTGGAAGCTATAGGAGGACATTGTCTGAGCTTATTACAACAATCTAACTATAGAACATTTAGGCTGACACAAAACACAGGAACTCATTACTTAGAACTACTAGTAGCTAGGAATGTAGAGGGAAATCCTAAAGTATGTAACTAGTTGTAATACATACTAACAGACTAAGGCCTACCAGACAAGGGTTTAGACTCTCTTACATTTGTATTAGATCCTAGATTACTCTTAGGAAGAAGTCTTAGTAGACCTGATTAGTAAGCTACCCAAGTCTTAGAGTTACAACACTATCTGTATAATTGTTAACTGATTCTCTAAGCAAGTCTATACAGTTCTGACTCAAACAGAACTTACTTCTGAAGGTATGGTACACATCTATCAGGATTATGTTTTCTAGTTGTATAGACTCTCTTAGAAGCTTATTCACAATTGTAGACTGTAATTTGAGTTGAAATTCATACAGGACTTGTATACACTTCTCAGAATTCAAGGGAACCCTTTTACTACATATTACTTGTAGACTGACAGTCAAACTGAGTGAGTCAATCAGGAGATCAAGCTCTACCTCTAGATGTTTATTAATCATTAGTAATCAGATTAGTCTGAATAGTTAGCTCTAACAGAATTTATACACAATAACTAGCAACACTCTATAACAGGACAGTCCCTGTTCTTTCTTAATTATGAGAGACATTTGTACTAGAGGACAGTTCTGAACTAGAACAGTAGTTCCAAATCTGTGACAGACTTTGTAGAACAGATACACAGGACTAGGGAGGATATATAAGCTCTTTTAGAGAAGGTAGTATAGGTTATAAAGTAGAACTATGATTGGAAGAGGTCTACAGCTAAGAATTACCAGCCTAGTGACAAAGTTATACTAGAAGCCATTAATCTGATCTTGGATTGTCTAATGAAGAAGTTAGACAACAAGTGCTTTAGACCCTTTGTCATTAAAAAGAAGGTTAGTGCCTCTACCTACAAACTCCAACTTCTAGTAACATGAAAGTGTATACACCTAGTGTTTAACAAGGTTCTGTTGTCTTAGTACTATAATCCCAGTTTTCCTTCACAATAAAGACCCCTACTACCTCTACTAGAACTCATCAGTTCTGAACTAGAATACAAAGTAGAGTACATAGTAGATGTTGAGCTACTGTACAGAAAACTCAAATTCCTTGTTCACTAGAAAGGGTACCTAGTTGAGGAGTACACTTGGGAACCTGCTAAGAACCTTGCCTATACTTCTAAGACAATCTGAGACTTCTATCAGCTTTATCCTAGTACTCTACACAAACTCAGCCTTACAGATTTCTAAGCCCTACTGTTCCAACCTATGCCTGAGCTGCTGACTGAGCCTAATGTTCACTAATTAGGATGATTAGTTTTAGAGGGAGGGTGATGTTACAGTTCTCTACTCTCATACTTTCAGTTCTAAGGGTTCTACACCCTTCTGTACTAGAACTCAGGACTTCCATCCCTTAGGGGTACTGTCTATAGACTATATGTATATTGACTCTTACTACTACCCTTCCTTACTTCATCATTCTATTCCTTTGACCACCCCTTCATTCTTTGTTCATTCTATAGTCTCTTACCCTTTGTCTATCCCTTCATTCTTTGTACCTTTATCTTTGACCTTCCTTTCTTTCATTCTTTGTGGCTTATCATTCTTAGTGACTCATACTCCCTGAGTACTCTTGTGTAGTTTAGTATATATAGGTGTACAAGATCAGACTGGTTCTGTAGTCTTGATCTTGTCTACTCTAGGTAGTCCTGTACTCTTAGGCTCACTCTATATACTCTACTCTTGTCTCACTCTCTCTCTCTGCCTGTTCTGCAAGTTCTGACTATATTCTAGTACTTACATTCTATATTTCTGTTGTGTAGGATAGTTGTAGTCTGGGTCCCCTTGCTAAGCCTTTAGGTCCCCTCTATACTGTTGCTGACAAAAAACACTTAAAAATTATAAATAAAATATACTAGTTTTAATACTTGAAAGTCTATAAGATTGTTAAATAATCAAAACTTATATACTTAAGAATGTTCAAAAATCTTTTAGAATAATATAAAATATATAATGTATAAAAGTAAAAAAAAGAGACTATTAATTAAAATAATATATAAAAGAAAAAATTATCTTAAAAATCATTAACAAGAAACTACTTTAAGTAAGTGTATACTACTTACTCTTTTAATAGTTCTAACTAGAATGATCTGAATTGTGTTTAAGTATACTTAAAGTTAAACATTTAACTTTTAAATATATATATATATATAAGTAAATAAAACATTTATTAACTAGTTAAAATATATATTATTACTTTCTTGTCTTAGTATACAGTAATAGTTTTTAGTATACTATTAATAAGTACTATTGTAATAATAGAAAGAGTAAAAGGTATACAGACTAATTTTCTTAACTATACATTTTAAGAATTTTATAATATATTTAAAATTCTAATAATAGTAATATTACTTATAGAAAGGTTAGAGAGTAGTTAATTATATATATACTTAAATTGTTTGTTAATAAAGTCATATATTTGAGTCAGAGGAGTAATGTTGCATTTTAGAGACTTTTATATTAACTTATTTTTATAGTTAAAGTAAACACTATTAAAATTAAAATTAATATTAGAAGGCTTTTATTAGAGAGACACTTTTTAATAAGTAAATACTTGTGTACACTAATTCTAAAACAAACTATAGTCATTTTAGTTATAGTGTATAAAACTCTATAGTATTGTAAGTATTAGAGTATAATAAAGTATATAAAGAGAATAGTATACAAAAGTCTGGTTTAACTTGTGTCTTATTATCTGATAATAAGACTAGATGGAAAAACAACTTATATAGAGAAAATAGTAAATTGAAAGTGTGATAGTGTATAAAAAGATAATAATAGAAGAAAAGTAGACTAAAGTAAGTTGTTTCAAGAGATAGATTCTTATATATCCTTTTTTATGTAAAATATACTATTTCCAGCTTGGAAAAGTAGTAAATTGTATATAGTGTATTAAAACTAAAATGTTAATATATTAATACTTGTAACAATAGAGTAAAAATATACAACTAATACTTTGTTTAAGTATATACACTTGTATTAGTAGAGACAAATAATGGACAATATATATATATTCTTCCTACTGTTAATGTATTATTGAGTAATACATTAGCTATATAATTAATTAGTTCAGATAAAGGTTTTATAGGAAGTTTGATTTAAATACACTATATTCTACTTTGACATAATGACCACTACACAGAAGATTAACTACATAGTAATTTTAAGCTAGTATCTGTCCAATTGAGAAGTTATTATGTAGCAAACTTGTTACATGTGTAATATTATATATTTAACATTAACAATAAGGATCAATTACTCAATACTAACGTTGATGTAAGTAATATCAACCCAAAAAAGTATAGTAGTTCCTTCTTTGATTGATCTTAAGCATATGTATTGACTGCCTTCTTTACTACTACAAATTCTTTGTATTATTAAGTGGCTTTTTTAAGGCATTATATAGTCATGTGAGCCTGGTAGATATCATATACCAGATCAGCCTGAGGACCACAGCTGATCCAAGGACAATTCTCAGTGTGGTACTTGGGACTGCCCCCTTTATAGTGACTATTAATGTTGATCGTTGGTCATGTTTTCTACTACGTGTTCTTTAGATTGCAAAAACTATCATGTAGTAAGAGAAGGTTTAATCGGTTGACTGATTGGCCAACGATCCCATGCTGCGACAGACTCGTATGACGTCTTCTTTCTATTGGGCGTCCCATCCCCCTGTGAATTATCACCAAATCAGTGCTCATATTGACTTGGAAAAATGACAGCTTACGATATGTGAAACCGGGAACCCGGGATCAAAGGGAATTGCACTCTCAAGGTAGTGAATCTGCTCGTCCGAGAGCGAAATCTTCAACGCTTCTATGTTTGCCATCAGGTGCTCGACCTTGCGTCCACCGATGATTGGGAAAACATATGGAGTTTTCTACATGAGATATGCAATGGCAACTGCGGTAATATGCTCCGTTCCGACCGCTTTAGCCACTTTCTCAAGTGCCGCACTCATCTTCTTCTCATTCTCGTTGCGCATCCATTCTGACTGCGTGATTGTACGACCCTTCTCACCGGATTCCAATCTCCTCTGTTCCTCGGAGTCACTACGTAGCCGACCACCTGCAAGTACATTCCATGGCGCAAGTGCAAGGCCATTAGCCCGAGCCATAGGAATAATCTCCCGCTCAAAACTACGCTCCATGACGTTCCACGCTCCCTGGTAAATTACAAACGGTGTCTTTCCAGTGCATTTTGCGTACTGGTTTGCCGCTGCGACAACCCATGCGGGCATGTCAGAAGCACCCAGATAGAGTACTCTCCCAGCTGCAACGAGGTGGTGAAGATTGTCCATGACTTCTTCCATCGACGTCTGGTAGTCCCACCAATGGACGTACAAAATATCGATGTAAGACGTACGAAGCTTTTCGAGACTCGCCTCGACGCTGATCTTGAGGCTTTTAGCATTATTCCCTGCGTAGTTCGCCTTGACTTTCACACGATCGTCACCGCGTTTGAAGTCATTTGTGTACTGTCGGACGAGATAGGTGAGTTTGTTGATGAATGGAATTCTGCACCCGTTTAAAGCACCAACCTTCGTTGCGATAACGAGCTGGTCGCGAATGCCGCGCATTTCTGCCCATTCTCCGATGAACATTTCGGAAGTTCCATCCTGGCTGAAATGACGTGGCATAACGATGAATACTGAACGTTATCACACAGGAACTAGGAAACTTACTAATTGCTAGCAGTATCGATGAAGTTTCCGCCAGCATCATAATAAGCATCAAGAAGCCTGAAAGATGACTCCTTGTCCATGGATCCCATTCCGAAATTGGCCCACTTGTCGCCAATGCTCATTGCTCCAAGTTGTAGTGGCGATACACGAATACCTGCGAGTGAGGACAAAACACGATAACAACCAAGCGGCGTCGGAGGGGCAGGGGGAGCTTTCCAGAGTTGAGACATCTTTGTGCACGTTCACTCGAAGAAATTTTAATTGCAGAATAATCTTAAGCTATTCTCTGCGATAAGGAGCACCGATCAAAAGTTGACGCTGCTTTTATAGTATAAGCCAGCCTTGCTGGAGCCATTTTACTATACGGTGGACTACTATTGAGTCACCGACAACACTTCTGCAGTGTCGAATTCCCCGAGCCGGAAGACGCGTCATATGTTCGTCGAACGGCATGAGCATTGAAGGTGAATGAAAGACGGCTAATGTGCAAAACTCGGTGATGACTCCGTTTGCTCGCCGATCCAGTTGCCATTTCGAGCAATGCTGATGACACATGTATCTCAACGACTCCGTTTTCTGTCCGTAAAATTAAAAGGAAATGGGCGATTAAAGCGTCAATGGCCGCCGTTTACAGCCGCTAAGCAAATAGGAACTCCCGTAGACGATGAGACAGTATTATTAGCTGTGATAAATCCGGTGGCGAAAAATCAGAGTTATGCCTTAAAAGAGTTCAATTCCTTGCAACTCAAGCGAACGGGTCTCATAATATTGGGCACTGGGCCAATCAAGTGCGCAAGTCGGTTGCACCACATACACAATTTTGTATGCTACAGAACACATTCCCACAATCGCGCTTGTTTCAAGCATTGGGGGCGGGTTTGATAGGTTGTCTAAGTGGCCAGCGATCCCATTCCGATGCAGACTCCAATAGTATCGTCTTCCTGTTTGGAGTCCCATCTCCCTAAAATTGATTGTAAGAAACATTGTATTTATATCATGTTCAGAAATATAAGCAAAAGGCTTACGATGAAGGAGACAGGGAACCCCGGGTCAAATGGTAACACGCTTTCAAGGTGCTGAATCTGCTCGTCCGACAGCGAGATTTTCAGCGCTTCGATATTTGCCATCAAATGTTCAACCTTTCGGCCACCGACAATCGGGAACACATTTGGAGTCTTCTGCATTAGATATGCAATAGCGACGGCAGTGATGTGCTCCGTCCCGACTTCTTTGGCGACCTTCTCAAGTGCGGCGCTCATCTTCCTCTCATCCTCGTCACGCAACCACTCCGGGCGAGACATAGTACGTCCTTTCTCGCCAGACTCGAGTCTCATTTTTTCTTCAGCATCTGTGCGCAAGCGACCCGACGCGAGGACGTTCCATGGAGCGAGAGCAAGGCCATTAGCTCGAGCCATGGGAATAATCTCGCGCTCAAAGCTGCGTTGCATGACGTTCCAAGCACCTTGATAGATCACAAAGGGTGCCTTGCCATGGTCCTGTGCGTATTGGTTTGCAGAGGCAACGACCCACGCCGGGGTATCGGAAGCACCAAGGTACAGCACTTTCCCGGAAACGACAAGATTATGAAGGTTATCCATAACTTCCTTGATCGGGGTGTTGTAATCCCACCAGTGGACGTAGAGAATATCAATGTAGGACGTGCGCAGTTTCTTCAGACTAGCCTCGATGCTAATTTTGAGGCTTTTCGCATTATTTCCCGCGTAGTTGACTTTGATTTTAGCGTGATTGTCAAGGCGTTTGAAGTTTGTCGTATACTATCAATGCGATAGCATTAGTTCCCATAAAGAGACTAAAATAACCGTTGGATCGCTTACCTTCGTTGCAATTACAAGTTGATCACGGATACCGCGACTTTCTGCCCATTCTCCGATAAATATCTCAGACGTCTCATCCTGACTAAAAAGGTAAACTCCATTAACCAAAATGCTATAATATCTGTATATAATATGAACTCACTAGTTACTGGCCGTATCAATGAAGTTACCGCCAGCGTCATAATATGCATCGAGGAGCTTGAAAGACGACTCCTTGTCCATGGAGCCCATTCCGATACTGTCCCACTTGTCGCCAATGCTCATTGCTCCAAGTTGGAGTGGTGAGACGCGAACACCTGCAAGTGAGGACAAAACGCGATAACGACCAAGCGGCGTCGGTGCGGGAGAGGGAGCTTTCCAGAGCTGAGACATTCTTGAAGTGATTTAGTGCTGCGTACGAGTTTTCGATGCTCTAAAGAGGTCGAAATTGGCCTCCTTTTATAGTGCAGGGTATCCTCCCTGAAAACACCTTGATATACATGAGTTAGAAGATAGAGTCAATGATAGCACTTGGGCGGTTCCGAAGACTCCGTTTGATCCGAGACACATTAAGATTTGAGAGTGGGCGGAATGGGCTTTAGTGTCGAGATCAGAGTAAAAATTAGGGAGTTAGAGACAGAAAAGTCACCTCTGAGCACAAGTTTCCTATTTTGGGCGACACGCTGACACATTACCTTTGACGATGAGCCTTCTGCTTATGCATCGACGACGAGAACGGGAGGCATGCAACTAAGTTAAATCCGCTCGTGCCCGCGAATCATATCTCGGGCGTAGCATTTACAGTCATTGCTAAACGGATCAAACATTAGATCTTAAGCTTGCTTCGAAGAAGCTAGAACAGTCAAATTCCCTATTATTGCAAGTAGTGCTCCGCACCGTAGCGTAATTTACGGATACGCCTGCAGCGTATACGCTTACGCACCGTATCGTAAGAGAAAATTTTAGCTGAAAATACGGGCGTATATTTACGCGCGTATGCGTATACCATAAGTAAAAAATTTCCGTATACACCGTATACGAGTATACAGTATTACTAAGCATATTCTCTAATTAAATACTAAGTTTGAGTTTCTAGACCTCATTTACTTTACTTATTTATATACCAAATCATTTTAATACTATATAACAACCTTGTTTAACTTAAAAAGTACTAGTATGAGTAC